ATAATAAATATTATTAGAAACACAGCTATTGTTTTATAATTTATAATGTATAAACGAACTTAATTATGTGCTTCTCAAAAATAAAAGAAAAAAAAAACAAAAAAAAAAAAAATAAGAATCAAATAGGCTCAGAAATAAATAGCCGAAAACTGCCACATTTACATCATTTTTAAAAATCGAAGAAATAAATATTACCGATTTTTCTACAGAGAAATGGGCAAAAAATAATACAAGATCTAGATATAGCACCAGGTTCTTATGATGCTGAACCATCCACAAGTTACTTTGGACTCGGAAACGGCCAGAGTTGTTCCAAAGTAAAAATTCAGATTTTTATGAAACTTCAAAGATTTTTTAAATATTCAACTTGTCAATTAACAATGAAATAAATACACCGATATTGCCATTTGCAATACCAAACAAACCTTACCTATAGGGAATATTTGTGGAAAATTTCAACCCTCTAGCTCTTTCTATTCGGATTCTATCGAATCTGACAACTCTAAACTAGTCCAATAGGGTGTATAGAGGCCTAGGTGAATCTTCGGATTTGATGTATATACATCCACTTTTTAAACTAACTAACTGAACCGATATTGCCCATTTGCAATACCAAACAAACCTTACCTATAGGGAATATTTGTGGAAAATTTCAACGCTCTAGCTCTTTCTGTACGGACTCTATCGTGACCAACGATCGAATCCGACAACTCTAAACTAGTCCAACGGCCCAATGGTAAACTATAATAAACAATTTGCTTTAAAGTATCTCTGTAATAAAATAGTATTACGTACATACATATGTATTCTATCTTTTGTGTACTAATATGCATATATTACCAACTGTGACTCAATTCTACTCAGCAGGTGGTTTTTAATGTTTTTTGGGGTAGAACAAAGGAGGAACTCGAAATGAGAATATAAATTTAAAACAAATAAGTATTATATTCGGCTGTGCCGAATCTCATATACCCACCGTCAAACATTATGCCGTAAAAGGAATGCTCCCCTATAGATATCAGGGTTATATTTGGAATATGGCTTAAGTCAATTATGAACTGAACTGGACTCTTTTGAACTAACAAAATATTAATTTTTAAAAACAAAATATTTTTTTTTTAAATTTTTAAACTGTGAGCGTAAGAGTAATTTCCTGAAGGGGACCTTATATGGGGGGTAGGCTAATAAAAATCGCATAAAAATTATGTGTGCCGAATTTCATCGCAATATTCGTAAATTTATTCCAGTAATGAGTGTTAGTCATTTTCTAAAGAGGAAGGGTCAATTATGGACCGATCCTCATAAAATTTGGTAGAGAAATTTTGGCTCATATGAAACTTTCATGAAGTACACGTATTTTTAAAAGAGTCATGCCAGTTAAAGCTGTTTTTCGGGGGTTCACTATACGTAGACCAATATTGCCTATTTTCAATACCAAATAAACCTTATCAATAGAGAATATTTATGCAAAACTTCAACGATCTAGCTACTCCTCTGTGATTCAACAGACAGACGAACCCTCTTAGAATTTAATAAGGATCCAGAATATACATATATGTATACTTTTGTGGGTCTATGACCAATATTTCGATGTGTTACAAACGGAATGACAAAAACAATATACTCCTATCTTTTTTTAATGGTGGGAATAAAAACACAATACATATTATTTAAAACAATGGTGTGTCTTAGAGGACGACGAAGAAATAACGCTCCTTAAAAAAAATATATAAAGAGATTTTATGGTATTTATGGTTTAACATTAAACGATATAACATCAACAAGTTACGACGATTATACATACATACCTTCTACTTTGAAGAATACAAAAAGCTTTAAAATCTCACTTTTCTGAAAAATCACGAAGAAAAAGGACTCATCACTGTCACACCTGTTTCGGCTAAAAGCAACTTTTGCTTAGTTTTTGCTATAGCTTTTCTTTTTTATCCATCTCTAGTTATCCACATGCCACTTGTAACTTTTATAAGTTTAACCTTCTTGATCATCGAATATAAATACCCTTCTCACTCGCTTTTTCCAACAATCCATCTAAAAAAGCACTTTTATCCTTATTTTGCTTTTTGTTCTGTTAGGTAATGTTCGTTGTGTGTGTTCACGGTATCGTTGGATTTATTTAGCAGTTTAGCATTATTGTTAACCGGCAGAGAAGGTATTACAACTTTTGAAAGCAAAACAGTCAACGAGGAAAAAGATTTATTATCACAGCTTGACAAAGTATTTTGTCGAAATTTATTTATATTTGAGCTATAAAATAAAAATAAACCTGAAAATAATAAAATGAAACAGAAACAACAGAAAAACAATTTTATTTTATAACTTGCAACACGCAAACTATCATCCGTACAAACAAACAGGTGACAGGCAACATGCATTAACTCCCCCCTAAAATAATAAAACTTCCCAGCAAAAGCTTATATTAAAAAGTAATGAGTTAAAAAGCTAAAAAAGCCGCTTTTACTCTTCTTCACTATCATTTTTACTCAATATTTTAATACGGTGATGACATTAGAGGCAAGTACTTACCACGCTCGCATACAAATAACTACTGAAATAAGTACTTACAAATGAGGAGTTAAAAAGTTGATTTGTTCTTAGTTCGCTCTCGTAGACACAACACTACTGCTTGTTATGGTTTTCACACAGAAAAACAAATTTCTTTGTGTGTGTTTAAGAACTCATTCATTACAAGAGTACTTAAAAGTAATGCAGACGATAAGTAGTATTAGGCACAAGCCATTTACGAGTTTTTGCTGGGACGGTATTGACTTGTAATTACTCAACAACTTACATTTCAATGACTTCTGTATTACTTAGAAGTAGTCTAGTAAAAATATATTATTGTAGTACTTACGAAAAAGAAATAATTTTTTTACTAATTTTTCTCAGAAACAAACCTGCTTACTTAACACCCTATTTGCAGGCGAAAGCGATCGTGGTAAGTACTTGCCTCTAATGTCATCCCAGTGTTAAAATAATGACTTAAAATGCTAATGTGTAAGTATATTTTAGAACTTAAACCCTTTACTTTTTAATGTAAATTTTTGCTAGGTTGCTCAAACCTTTCCCACAGTACTACTTAGAATCACAGTAGCAGTTTTTATTTTTTACATAAATTGTATGAATTGAATATGAAGATACTATGAGCTATTTAAATATAGGTAAATTCCTTTTTTTTACACTTCGTAATATATATTTCTGCGTTTATCGAGCCTGATGTCACAAATGATTAGCACGTTCTTTTTGCTTCTAAGTTATTTACCGAATTGATCTGGACCTATTTGAATTTTATACAACATCAACCCATCTATAGCTTTGGCTCTTCTCACAAAAGAATTTAACATTAGCGAGCAGCTTTTTTAATGGATATACTTATAAGACATAATTTTACTATTTAAAAATTTTATATTTTTTTTGAAAAAAAAATTTTTTTTGAATGTAAAGAAAATAGTGAACTTAAATATGTGAGCGACAGTGTATGTATTTATTTCGAAGGAATATTTAATTTTCCTAGCACTGTAAAAATTTATTGCAGCATTTTACTAATCAATTTGAAATTTGTCAACGTCATTTGACAATTACTACAAATAATAACAACGGAAACAAAGTGTTTAAATTGTAGTGGTAAACTATTTAAAATGACTCTCTCATTAACCAACGCTTTCACGAAAAGGACGCAAACACACGCAAACATTCGGATCCCACAACTCTATAGAATATCCACTCCTCTACCAAAAATTTATTGTTTGAGTTATATCAAACATGACCAGCCCGTAAGCGACATGAAAATATTGGAGGGCGGATAGCCGAAAAAGGATGAGTTGGTCAGAATGAAACTCGCTTTTGTAATAATGTTATAAATTAACGCAATTATTTAGTTGTTGTTGTTGTTGTTATTTAGCTATTGTTAGAGTATAATTACACCAACTTATGGAGGGAATAAATAATTGTGTAAAAGACGAGTGGTTGTAAGCGTGTGTGTGTGTGAGTTTACTCTTATGAAAGGTGAATAATCTAGAGATTTTGAACATGTCCCCTACAATTTCGATGAAATTCGATACACACATTCTTCGAGTAAAACCGAAATTTAAAGTTTTCAAAATTTCTAAATTCGTTATTGTTTACATTTTATTGAATTTCAAAGTTCATATTTTTATGACTTTTTTCAACAAGTGATAAATTTGACATCGTATATTTTCTATTCCGGTTTTAATCGTAAATTTTCTTAAGGGAATTTCGAGGATTCTGCCGCCAAGGAGGTTAGTCTATATATCCGTCCAAGATTGCAAGAATTTAAGTTTTGTACTTTTGAATTATTTTTTATATTATATGAAAAAATGTTGTATGATATACCATACAAGCTAGTCTATGCTTAAAAATAAATAATTGGCCTGTTTTTTAGATTTTTTTTGTAAAAACCAAACATTTTACTTAAAATACTTAAGGTACTTAATTCGTTGGCAATGCCCACTGTTACGTATATGTAACGTCATTTAAAATTCTAACCAGGCAAGATAGAAAATAAAAATAAATTTAAAATCGGTTTATATACACATGTAAACTGTCATATCCATATTTCTCATTTCTACCTTACGTATGTAGATCGCCGTGGGCATTAATGAATTAATGCGGTTTATATGACGTATAAATTGGATTTATATCTTATACGGTTCATAATTGGTCTCTAAACATTAGCATGTCATGTAAGTTTGCTAAAAACTATGAATGTTGAAGACTGAATAACTTTGAAACCCATTATCCCATTTTAACAAGTGAGGTTTCGTTCAACAGAACTTCGATTACTCGTTATTGTCCTTTTTATAAAAATTACAGGACGTCTTGGAAATTTTTTTTTACAAAATGGAACAAATGATTGCCATTGCGATTTAAAATGGGATCCCAAATAGGCTTGAAAGTTATGGCTGTTTTTATTAATTTTTATTTAAAAACAAAAAAAAAAAAACACACTTGACACGGAATTGTCCGATAATATAATAGCAACTTGCAAGGACTTAGCATTTTTTCTAGCTATATTTTATGCGCTAAGTCCACAGATTTTTTATTGTAAAATGTGTATTTGAAGTTATACTACCATTATTCATTTAAATATCAATTGTGTAAAACTTAATTATTGAAGTTGTATCAGCATTATTCCGATGTCGTTAAAATTTGCGATGTGGTTTATGCAATGTTACTTGTTAGTATGTATTTTTATTGTAATCATCCAATACTGTTTGCCACTGGCTATTATTTATTAGAATAAGTCCTATTTTCTTCAATATTCTTTAATTTTATGGGAAGTCTCTGAAATGAAAAATATTAATGTGGTAGTTCAACAACAACTTCTAACATCTTGTTTACTTAAGACATAAAAAATTTTAAATTTGTATACTCACTGTCATTGCTGCTACACATAAACCACATCCGAAAATATTAATAAACCAAAGTATACCAACTCTACAAGTTAACACCGTCATAATTAAGGCCGGTGTTGTAAAATATACATCAAACTCTTCCAAATAGGCCATCGTCAATGCGTCAACTGTTATCTTAAGATACTGAAAAGTTGAAGCAGCTGACTGCAAATGAAATTATTAATGGTTCATAAGTATAAAATTTTTTGCACCTTTGCAAATATGTATGTATGACCTCTTACCGTTGTATAAGGAATATCGTATGCGTAAAAAGCTGTTGCTATACCATCTATTATACTACCACCTAAAATAGCTAAAAGCCACAAGGCACTTAGGCACTTATTTACCGGTTTTTTAAAATTTGATTTATAGACAGCAGACAGACAAGCTAGAGATAAAATTATCCACAAACAACTTATAATTGTATATAAAATTAAAACAATAAATGTGCGAAGCTTAGTATATTCCGCCATCGTCCAATCAAGGTTTAAAATTACAGGTTTTGAAATACCTAAAATTGACACATTTGAGTTACCGCAATATTTTCCTGAAAAAAAAAAAATGAGAACATAGATATGAGTTTATTTCAAGCTTGCTAAATATTTACCTACCTTGTAAATACAATAAATCCATTGTAAATAGGGTCGCTTGATTGGTAATATGAGACGCATCATGCGAACATTTTCCCATAACCAAACCCCATATTGAAAGACCCAAATATATAAAGCCTTGAACCTATGGAGATAAAATAAATGTACTGGAATAATTTTCAAAGTAAAGTTTCACCAAAAATTTCGTAAAACGGGTTAGACCAAAGTCTTTGTATTTTAAAAAGAAGTAGGTAAAGATAGAAATAAATTTTGAAATCTATCCTATTTTCATATATATATATAAATTTGATTCTAAAACGATGATCAAAGTTCTTAAATTTGTTATGCTTACCATAAAAAGATGTTAAAAATAGATTTATTGGTCGTATACCCATATATGTACATATATTGCACATACATACATATGTATATTGTAAATGTAAATATGTATGTATATTTTGTTTCCTGTAAGATTCTAAGATGATCTAGCTAGTCCATCTGCTTGTATTGAAAAACGAAAACATCAGCCCATTATTTTTCGTAATCCTGTTAGAATGTCGTTTGAAATTTTAACATAGTGTAACATAACATACATATGTTAAGTATACAGAAATAGTACATAAATTACAACACCTACGCTTGTTTATTTTTGTTAAATCACTCGATGTCGATTATATGCTTATAATAATATTAATGTTTTCTTACCAATGTAATAGTTAATAAAAATGATATAAATTGTGGATTCATTTTAATTCAAGAATTTATTTTGTGTTTGGTTCGTTACTTAAATATGTTATTAATTTTTAGTTTTTAAAATTTATGTGTACAATTATAGTTTATATGAATGAATTTTATATTTTTTATTATCACATAATTATGCATTAATTTATTGTTGATTGCGATAAGATAATAAACTAACAATTTATACTTGACTCACAGTTTGTTATGATTCAGTAACAGTAATTAATCATTTATTTAAGTATAGATTTAAATTTGGATAAAATAAAATATGAAAATAACACTAACAAATGTCTATTTTTAATTGCAATATTTTCTTAAACATTAATGAAGTATTATTGGTTTTCATATGTTTTTTCTTTCTCATTCTTATTTCTTTATTTTAGTATTATTATATTGTTAAATAACTAAATATCAAATCAAACTACAGAAATACTGGTTATATAAATTTAACTTAATATAATTTTTTTCTGTATAATTAATTAGGTTTATTTTGATCGTAGCATTTAGATTATTAAATCTGATTTACAGTTGTTGTTCCATTTGCTGAAGTTGTCGTTAAAGGTTCTTTTGGGGAATTCTGAAAATTAAAATTTGTCAAAGAAAGTTTCATTTTGAATTAACTAAAATCTTGATACATCAGATATCGTTTATAAAAAAAATATTATTTGGGTCTCTATTATTGTTCAAACCCCTATTTTATGCACCTACCAATCGAAATGTGTCAAGAAACTTATAAATAAATTAAAAACTTTGTTCATAACACGGTACCTATTACAAGTTCTGTTGAAATAACATATTTTATTTTACCATTTTTAAAAAATTGTAGTACATATCTAATTGATTTTAAATAATTAATGTTATAGTACTTACCAGTACAATTGACAAGCAACTGCTCGAACCTGATATGTTAAGAAGCCATATCAAAATGATTCTGGAACTAACGCCAGCCATAACAATTGATGGCGCCACAAAATATTCATCGAAACTACGGATATAATCCATAGTAGAGCTTGTAGTAGTAATGCCCAAATATTCGAATGTTTTATTGGCCGACTACAAAAAAGTATGTATGTATGTCCAAAAATTATATTTATCAAAACATACCTATTTATGTATGTATATAGCTCTTACCGTAGTATGAACTAAATTATGTATGTGATAACCCGTAGCAACAGCATCCAAAACACTTCCCGCTAGTACGACTGTAAACCAAGAACCAAAACTTAGAAGTTTTAAATTTCTGTGAGCTGAACACAAACTGGTTAACATAGACCACAAAGAAGTTAAAATCCACAGAGTGCTAATGATTACGTAACAAATTAAAAATATAAAAGTACGAGTTTCGGTCGGTTCAGCAGTGTCAGTCAGGTTCATAGAGATGGCCGCAGTATTACCTGGTACTAAAACAGCAGGTTGTCCGCAGGCATCATCTAAAGAAGATGTATAAATGCATATAATAAATATTCTCTAAATCACCACTTAAAGCATTATAGGAACCCACCATAGAAATATATTAGATCCATGACATACTGAAACGGTTGTTTGGCTATATCGGTTATTTGTTGACTACATTCTCGTAAAACTAAACCCCAGATGGAAAGCCACAAATATACAGCACCTTGGAGCTTTAGGATTAAATAATATTATTTTTTATTTATTTGTTAATAAATACAAAATCATAAGTTTAATAGCTCTTACAAGTATTAATATGGGCATAAAAAACATACAACTTTTTGACATTCTGCTAAATATTTTTTTAAAATAAATAATTTTATTACTCTATTTACAACTTGCTGCTGTCTAAATAAATTCAGTGACTATTTTTATGAAAATTATTTTCAATTTTCGTTTTGTTTTTTATACCCTACACCACTTTAGTGGGGAGGGTATATTGGATTTGTGCTGATGTTTGTAACATACAAAAATATTCGTCCTAGACCCACAATCGGCTTAGAATCGTTTTCTGAGTCGATTAAGCTATGTCCGTCCGTCCGTCTGGCTGGCTGGCTGTCCATGTAAACCTTGTGCGCAAGGTACAGGTCGAAATTTTCAAGATAATTGGATGAAATTTGGCACGCACGTTTTATATGACCCAAGGACGAAGTCTATTGAAAATGGTTAAAATCGGTCCATTATTTCACCTAGCCCCATAGAACAGAACCCCCCGAAAAGGGCTTCTGAGCTCATAATTATGTTAAATATACAGATATATCGATAAGTTACGGCACAACTAAGTTTTATAAAAGTCTTGATGACCCTGCCAAATTTCATAAAGATCGGGCCCATTTGACCCTAGCTCCCATACAAAGTCCCCTTCAGAAAATTACTTGAATGTCCCAAATTAACTTATAAACACAAATATCCCGATGAAATTCACCACAATAAAATATTATGTAAATATAAATATATTCGCAAAATTTTATCGGGCTTGGTCCATATTTGCCCCTAGCCCCCATATAAAGCATCTTTCAGAAAATTAGTTTTTCATCCATAAATTGCTTAAATGTATCGGAACAAGGGAATATTGAAGATAAATGTTTTATTATGAAAAATAAATCACATTTAATATTCATAACTGGTGTAGGGTATCATATGGTCGGCCACGCCCGACTATACTTTCTTACTTGTTTTTTATTTATTTAAGACTGGATATACATACATACATGGATTTTTACAACACAAAACAGTAGAGAAATTATTAGATATCTGTATCTAGTCATATGCGTGTCTAACAGCTAATTTGTGATAAGATAAAAATGGTATGTTTATATGTATGTATAAACATTAGGGTGGCCCCAAAATGTAAGTAGCTGATGTTCCCGCCGAAAATTAAAATTTAGTTCATTCTAAAATACCATTTCTTAAATTTTTTATCCTGGCATCAATATTTGGATCAAAGGATAACAAGTAAGAGTTCAATATTCGCCTTTGGCGAATCTTATACACCTTTCACGATAGTGTGTTTCAAATTTAATATTTTATATTTTCCAACTCTACCGTTACTTTAGCATAATAAAATATAAAACAACAACAGCTAACGCCAAACAAAACACAAAAATCCAACAAAATACGTAATGCGAAAAAACCAATGATCAATGTTGTTGTTTCTTTTTTTTTTTGAAAGCATACAGTACATTGTCTTTTTTTATGAAATTTTCAGAGGTTGTCTCAGATTTTTTTTCATATCTTCGTTATTTATGAATAAATATAGACTTCTTCTTAATTTTATTTCATTTCAATTGAATTTCCTGTCATAAAAAAGATGATAAAATGACGATGGCTCTGATGTTGATAATAAGGTTTTTGCGTACGATTATCTGTCTGATTGTTAAGTCCGAACATCGTGGGTTCGATTCACACCAGCTACTCTTATAAAGAAGTATACAATAGGCACGATAGACCTATATCGTATATCGTCACCTGAAATGTAAAAGGGCGTAACAACACTTTTACAAATTTTACAGGAGAGACAAAAAACTAAATAAAAAGAAAGCTATTTTTGTTATACAAACGACATTTTCTTACAAGTATTGTATCCTAACATCGATAAAGACGTTTGAATATAACTACATATACCGACATTGTCTATTGCTTTTTAGGACTTTCTTACTTGTGAAAATGACTAATTTGTTGTTACGCCCTTTTGAATTTCAATTCAATAAAGTCGGTATTTTCGACAATAGGGTTCTAAAAATTTGCAACAACATGTATTTTGATGCAGTGAACCATTTTCAATCAAAAAGTCGATTTTAAATTTTTTGGTTGTTACGCCTTTTTGCAAAAACAGAATAGAAATCACAATATCTTTATAAGTATTAATATTTTTAAGTAACACAACTAAGGAAAATGAAAACAAAATAATTCGAAAGCAATTAATGATACGCGAAAATCATTTCTACCAAAATATTGGAAATTGCATTCTCTACAAAAGTTGTAATAACATCTTAAGTCGTACGAAGAACCACAATCGCGATATACATATGCAAAGATTTGATACTCATGACCAGGGCAAGGATTTGTATGCAAATGCATGTTTGTAGTCAGTAACTCAAAATAACTTTTAAGTACACAGAAAAAACTAAAAATATGTTTCAATTATCAAAATAATTGTATCAAGCAAGTTTTGCACCTATCACCAAAATGATGATATCAATTATCAAATTTGTAAAAAAAATAAAAAAATACTTTTTTTTCCAAATAACGAATTAATCAGAACAATTAATATCAATAATTGAGACAAAATTTAAAATTGATTAATTCATTAATTGTATAAATTAAATATTTAATAAAAATAAAATCTAATTTTTATTAATTTATTAATCAAATGAATTTGTTTGGTAGAAAATGTATTAAAAACCAATTAAGTTGATGATTAAAACAATCAAATTATTAACTGATTACTCACAATGTTAAAGGAATGCTTGACCTTTAACAATGCTTTGAGCATTTACAAAAAATATCACTTTATTATCAAATTTGAACATATTAAGTGTTTTATAAAATGTCAGGAAACTTGAATATTATATGCCTAAAATCGTATTGACTATTTAAGAATTATAAACATTGTTAGCATAAGAAATCAAAATAAAATATTTAAAAAAAGTTAAAATAGAAAAGTTGGCCAGAAAATTTTTTTCATTCAATTAAAAAACTAATTGAATCAATTAAAAATTTAATCAAATTTGTAAACTTAGGTTTTAAACAACGAGATAATTAAGACAAATAAAAAATTGCTTAAATTAAAACTAAAGAAAGAGAAAAACATGTTAATTGAAAATAAACTACTGATAATTTTTTCTGTATAGTTCTATTTTCGAATCATAGAATTTGCAACAAAATGGCATCGATTTGTTGTTGCATTTTTTGCTATAAAATGCATATATTTTGCATATTTTTAACATTTTTATATCATATTTAGCATATTTTTTAATTTTTCGAACACAAATTATGTTTTTTGTATTACATATTTTTAAAATTAAAAAAAAAAAAAAATATATAAAAAAAAAATTAAATGTAAAAAAAAAATTGTAAACAGTAAAGAAATATCTATCTAAACTCCTTTGGACAATTTTTCCAGGACCAATAGGTGAAAAGTTACACTCATTTGAAAAAAACATGTATGACCAAAATGTCCACTCTAACTCCGGCAGTACTTGACCGATAAAGTACTTGACCTATGTGTACTGGTGCAAATTTCATCCAAATCGATTTATATATAGTATAATAGTAATATATAGTATAATAGTAATCACATAAACACAATATGTTTAGAGTATAACCATTATATGTTGCTCTTAGATTATGGTTATTATAATCATGTTTTTTTCTGCGTGTAGTACGAGTGGGAGTAAATTTTGTGTTTGATGCAAATGGCATATGCATGTTCAACTCGTTTTCATCCATCATTAATGTGTGATTTATTGCATTAAAATTCTCGTAAAATAAAAGGGCATGTCAAGGTAAACTTTAATATTCTCAGATATACATACATATATACAACTATATCGTCGTTGCTTTTGTTCTAATTAATTTGTTCTGATTAATTCGTTATTTGGAAAAAAAAAGTATTTTTTTATTTTTTTTTTTTTACAAATTTGATAATTGATATCATCATTTTGGTGATAGGTGCAAAACTTGCTTGATACAATTATTTTGATAATTGAAACATATTTTTAGTTTTTTCTGTGTACACGCAAAGAAGAAATATGGTTAGGGCTACCATAAACTGAAACTATCATTAATGTTTGGAATTATAATTAGGACAACCATATAAAATATTTCCCTTTGGAGATCATAATATGATTGTTGTAGGTTGTCATAAGTTAACATATTATTGTTCCTATAACAATTATAATATGATTCCTACAATACCATAATTTGTTCTTTAATTTACCATTATATTATCCCCATTAATAGCATCAAATATTTAAGGGAATCATTTTATTACCAACAAAAAATAATTTTAATTAAAATAACAATAAATCAAAATTACAATTTTCCATCAGCCAGTATAAATTGAAGAATATCCTAGAAAAATCAATATGATTTTAATTACGTAATTTATACGTACATTATTACTTACATATATTGATGGAAGATCTGCTAACATTTGTAATGTCGATATACCTATTCCTAGTTAAGTGGTACTTCTGCTAAAAACTGATTAAAGGTGATCAAACGGTGTAGAGTCTGGCATTCGATTCTTTTGTTCTGCGGACACGAAAAATACATCCAAATTAGAATTACTCGTTGACTATGGATATTAAAAAAAAATAATTTTGTGACATTTCACAACAAAGATATGTTTACAACAATTAAAAAGAAAAATTATAAAATATGTAAAAATAGAAAATTTCTTATACTTTATGAATTAAATAATCATTTTTTATATTTTACACTCACATAGTTTTATAAGAAAATGTATTTTTTTTAATTCAATTAGTTTTTTATTTTAATTTCAATTACTTGTTTCTTACACTTCTTTAATCTTCAAGTTCTTATTATCAAATGACGCTCTGTGGCGTTTTAGAGAGAAAAATGGCATATTCAACAATGATGTTGTACCTTCAAAAATTAAATGATTCGTATAAATATTGAAAGTTTAATATTGAAAATACATAGAAACAGTAAGCAATACATGTTTGCACTTCAACTTTTTTTGTTTTAACAATGACGTCACAGTAAGAATGTCAATTAAACTCAAATATACATCTAATTTTTTTCTTCAAATAAGAAAAGGTGCCCTTTTAAGTATATTTAACTAAACATATGAAAGGAATAGCAAACGCAATTGC